AATTTTGTGATGCTCTTTCAAGCTGTGATGAAATCTTTGTCTAGACTTGTTTAGATCAAAATTTAGTCTATAATGAAAATGGTCCATTTCTTAAGTTAAAACTACTAATAACCCTAAAAATATTTAGAATTGAAGTGATACAAACTTTGGATGAGGACAATTGAGAATGACAAGTTTGTTGACAATTTCTGGAAAACGATGAGCAACAGACCTAGAAACAACAACATTAGCATTGCAGTCCCGCTCTTTTGGCATTTCATCATTGGCGCGAGGATAACTTCTAAATACGCCGCTGATGCAGATACGTTCGGGATGCACACTGACCCAGTCTACACGCACACCGAGAAAGCAAACATTGCATGGGAAACGCGACAAACGGACATGCAAACGCTTGCATTTTAAACTATATACGTAAGGAAGAAATGTATGTCTCTAATTGGTCATGCACCATTCGCATATTATTCGGTTTAGTCTTAAAACCAGACAAGGCTAATATGAAGCGAAATAAGGACAAAAACCTTTTCTAAAACAATAATTACCAGGATATAAGTCCTCCCCAGTCATGTCCAACAAGACTACATGACGTATAGCCCAGAGCTTCAACCTAAACGTTATATATAGACATGATGTTGCAACTAACCCCATGCAAATTTGATATTTTTGTATGTCTATATATATATATGGGTCATTAATAATTCTAAGAAGAAATGTTGATATAATGGTGTTTTACTGGAAACTAAAACACTCGTAGAACTCATATTCCACTACATCCGGGGACCAGATGGGCGTATTTTCCGTATTTCACGCTTGCGAGTGACATACGAAGTTCGAAAATTTCCCGCCATTTTCATTGTTGTTGTTTTGAAAATACAAACGGTCTTCGGTTCGCATATAAAACGAAATTAACGTTGGAAATAAAACGAAAACATTTAAAAGACATCTTGAGATAAGTAAAATTTATTCTAGTTTTATGCTTGCACTATAAATTAAAAAATATCGCTTTTCACTATGTCACTCTGAATAAGTCCATATAATAAACAGAACATTAAACGGTTGCGAGAAGATATGGATTTATGTTCTCGTGTCAAAAAAAATATCTCACTCGTTTGCTGCGCTCACTCGTGAGATATTGTTTTTGCCACTAGAACATATAAAAATCCATATCTCCTCGCAACCGTCTAATATCCTCTATATATTAAAAAACTCATCTTCATCAATTTGCTCATTGTTAAAATTTCCAGATACATCTCATTACGTGAATTGCAACTTAGACCCCAGACACTGGATTCGTTTGTCACGACGGCATATATTGATGTCGTAAAAAGCGAATCCGCGGTATCATTTTTGTTCCAAATATTTATCTAACAACATCATATCAGTAAGTACACTTCTTCTTAGAATGACCCAAATATTGCACATACGAAAATTATATTTGGGGTTAGTGGAACTTTAATAATTAATAATTATAATATTTATTTTTTATCGGTGAAAATAAAGCAATTTGATTGGCTGAGGAGCCTTTTGGAGCGGGCTGGTTTTTTTCCCGCTGTGAAATGAAACTGCCCGCCCTGGTTTTCGCGCCAAAACCGAGGAGTGAAAAATTTTTAAACTAAAGCCCTGAGCAAACTAGGAAACATCGTTGCGGAAACACTGTTTCCTGCCAATGTTTCGCCATGTTTTCCAGAGTGGGCAAACACTAGGAAACATTAGTGAGAAACATAAGGAAACATCATATGTTTCTGAATTCGCTAAGAAACATTTTTGCTTCTCGGGAAGCAAATTTTGTTTCCGCAACAACGTTTCCACGGGTGGCCAAACAGGGAAACGTTTGAGGAAACATCACAAATGTTTCCACAACAATGTTTCCTAGTTTGCCCAGGGCTTAAAACGTCTGCCCAAAAAGTTTGAAGACTCTGAAAACGTAGCCTAACGATAGTCACAATACGAAATGAATTGCATCAACCTCTAAAGAATTCATAATAAGCACGATTGACAATATATTGAGAGAAATGCATTGAAAGTTATTTGATATGTATAAAACTTACGCCGAGAAAGCTATGTTTTTGTTTCAAGGTGGCTCAATACAGATTTTTAAAAACGGAAAATTCACGATACGTGCTTTTGGACAATCATTACTTGTTGAAACACAAAAAATATCTTACTGATGTTCAACAACATCTATCACGGGTTTGAATTTTTTAACAAAAGTTACAGAACTGCCGTTGCTATGGCAGCAATGACGCTTCGAGCAAGCCAGGTCACTTCGAGTATTAATCGATAAAAAAACATATAATAAAAAAAATTCCCAAAAATATAAAGATAGAAATAATTCTCCGTCTAAGTAATTCTCGGGAGTCTATACCCCACTGAACACACGCGATTATTGTCTGTCCTATATACCTAGCTAGTTTCTTTTTGTTTTTGAAGGTATTATCTGCAGTATATATAGGTGGGTTTCAAGCAATCCCCTGAGACTTTAACACAAAGGCAGATAGAGGCCAAATAATTAGATTCTTTTGTTTAAATACCCTCCATGCATGTGCAATAAACTGTAGCAGGTTGAAAGCCACTTAAAGGTGGCTCTCACCAGGCTCCATATATTTAAATACTAACTATACACTGTATTTATTACTTAATTTTATATGAACTATTCACTGTATAAGATATGTAAATCTACATATTCTAGTCTAAATTCATAATTTTCTCCTATATACTATAGCATAGCGCCAACTGTTTTGGGAGTATCTCGTAAAGAAAAGTTTAAAAGTAAAATACACGGCATTAAAATTGCCTCGCGTGAATAGCAAGAAATTATATTCAGAGTTTTACAGAGTTACGGGCTCCTGGTTAACGTCATATTATAAAGGAGCCATGCAAGATTCCACAAAATGGGAAGTGTTGGTGCAGAGCTACATGTCAACCTGGCACTGTTCAAACTATACAGTTCAAGCATGACTGAAACCAAAATAACTTTTTTTTTTTTTAATATTGGCACGTTTATTAATTTGTTTACGGTATACTCACTATTTCTTTCGTGTCCTGGGCGAGACAGCTTATTTTATATGATGATGTTTTCACTGGTTTATCACTCCATCCATATCCCCTGAATGGCAAGATATTCAAATTATTGAGTAAACTGTACATTTAAAAGATTAGTATAAAATACGGTTACTATATATATGGTCTATACCATTTTGACTGCATTTGAATTTGCAAAAATCCTTCCAAGTTCTTGTCATGTGTTAAACTTAAATTATGACGCCGCCCTTCATAGTCAAAAACTATATTCATGATTTGACATTGTGATCAGCAATGATTGACTTAGCATTTTTATTATTACTAGTTATTACCATTCATATATAAATTCTGAAATAAAATTACTGAAAGAAGAACTACATATACAATCTACACAAGATACTAAAACAAGTTAGAAAATGAAAAGCCAGACTCAGAGCACATGAAGATAGACAGTATTTGTTGAATTGTTGGTACAACCTTTGCATGAGGAAGGTTTGAATTTAGATATAAGTAGAGATAAGTTTCAAGAAGTAGACTTCACGGATGAAGCGCCGTCAAGAAAAGACTAGAAAGACTGAAAATTTTAAAGTTAATTATTTTGGTAATCTATTACAATAAGCTAGAGCACACCAAGTATTATATATTAACTTTTTTAGCTAATTTACCTCAAGTCAACTGCTACAACTCGGTAATCCTTGGAAAATTCTTTCAACTGAAATCGCCATGAATACCAAAACTATAGAAAGTAAGAAAATCCACGAATAGATGAAATCTACATTATCTGTACACTGTAGTGTACATAAATTATTTGCATTAATCCTTATATTTTTGTATAAATAATCTAAATAGTATCAATTATATAGTATCAATTATTATATATAGTATCAATTAATATATCATCATCATTATTATTTGAAGTTCAAGCAGTTCTTGAAACATTGGATGTTACAAAAGCCACAGGACCTGACAACGTCCCAGCCCGTCTGCTTAAAGAAACTGCTCCTGTTATTTCAACGTCTTTGTGCACGCTTTTTAATAAGTCCCTAAGTCAAGGTGCTCTCCCGGAAGATTGGAAAATCGCTAACATAATTCCTGTGTACAAGAAAGGTGAAAAAGAATATGCTGAAAACTACCGGCCAATCTCACTCCTTTCAATTGTGTCGAAAGTTTTGGAACGCTGCGTCTTTTATAACATCAGGGAGCAGCTGTACCAGGTAATTAAGACCTCGCAGCACGGATTTATTAGAGGAAAATCATGCGTGACCAATCTTCTCGAAGTTCTCAACTATATTGGCTCGATTTTGGATGTTGGAGGTCAAGTCGATGCTGTGTATCTTGACATGTCTAAGGCGTTTGATAAGGTAAACCATAAACATCTGTTGCACAAATTACGGATGGCTGGATTTGGGGGTAGTCTCTTGCAGTGGTTTCAATCTTACCAAACCAATCGTCATCAACGTGTAACTGCACAAGGTTCCACCTCTACTACCCTGCCAGTTACATCAGGTGTGCCTCAAGGGTCCATCCTCGGTCCAGTCCTATTCAGCCTCTATGTCAACGACCTTCCAGATACAGTTACATCTAGTCATGTTGCTATGTTTGCTGATGATACAAAACTGTTCAAAAACATCAAGTCCGTCAAAGACAGCGAACAGCTTCAAAACGATCTCAAACATTTAGAAACGTGGTCTGAAGAGTCTGGTCTCAATTTTAACGAAACGAAATGCAAGACACAACGTATAACAAGAAAGATAACACCATTAACATTTAATTACAAACTTAACAACGGAAACTTAGTACAGACTGAATGTGAACGAGATCTCGGCGTTTTTGTGGATAAAAGCTTAACCTGGAATAGACAAGTGTACGAGCAGTCAGCAAAATCAAATAAACTATTGGGTTACATCCGGAGATCCACAATCTATATCCACAACCAGGAAGTGAGACGCACATTATACCTTGCACTAGTTCGGCCACACCTGGGGTATGCTACCAAAATATGGGCACCACAATCCACCGAACTAATACGCCACCTTGAACGAACTCAAAGAAGAGCAACCAAATACATCCTTAGTCTTCCATTCTCCTCCTCTACTGACTACACCACCAGACTTCAAACTTTAGTACTCTTACCGATCTGCTATTGGCATGAATATCTAGACATGGTACTCTTTTATAAAATAACTCACAAACTAGTAATCATCGAAGCATCACTACATCCAACTATCCGCACTTCCAGATCGACTAGATCCTCCGCCAATAACAGTCCTAAGTTCGTCGTGCCAAAATGCAAAACGGTAACATACCAAAGATTTTTCATGATTCGGGCAACTCGAATATGGAACCATCTCGTTGATGAACTTAATTTGAATACGGATAGTCTTTCGTCATTTAAGTCGGCAATGTTTAAGTACTATATTTCCTCTTTGTACTCGTGTTACGATGTTGAGGATCCTCGTAGTTATAAAACTATATGTCCTAAGTGTAATTCTGTTCGTAGCCTCACAGCGTCATTATTGTGCTGTATGTAGGAACTGTTAGTACTGTTCTTTGTTGTTTAATATATGTATTGTTGTAATTTATTTATTCGGGCCCGCAGTAATTGGCAAACGCTGTTGCGGATTCCCTGCCACTGTAATATGTACAAGGCGAATTAAATAAATAAATAAATAAATATTCACTATCCGAATTGTTTGGAAAGATATCATTCGGCATATGAAATTAGCTATCAGCTTGATAGCATTTTGGTATAGACTTTGTCATTTGGCAATAGACTTTGTCATTCGGCAACAGATTTTGCCATTCGGCAACAGAGTTTGTCATTCGGCAACAGAGTTTGTCATTCGGCAACATATTTTTCGCAAGCATCCCAGCAGTCTTTGCCCGATTAGTTTAAATTATAAACACACGTGACGTGCTACACGTGCACAGAAACACCAAGATGGCGGAGAGACAAGGTGAAAACACAGAGCTAGCAGGATACAAAAAGTATTCTTCAACTATATATATAGCGCGCGCTAACTGTCAAGAATAGGCTGAATAGCATGTTAAACTATAAATTTTTACGGTGCTATTCTATTTTTTAAAACTTTCATATATTGTATAAATTTATCTCTTCTTTCCACTGGTTATTAAACCTTAGGTGGCTCAGGCCTGCAAACAATCGAAAGTCGGCCGCAAACTGTACATGGTATTAGCTGCAAGCGAATACTATATCATCTATAAGTTAAGATCGCGCGCGCTGTGTATATAGACTTGCGTGTTAAAATACGAATTCTCTGCTGCTATTCTATACGATTTTTTAAAACTTTCATATATTGTATAAATTTATCTCCTCTTTCCACTGGTTATTGAATCTTAGGTGGCTCAGACCTGCAATTAACAATCGAAATTCGGCCGGAAACTGTACGGTATTAGCCGGCTGAAAGAGAATATAGATTGCTAGAAGTTACTATCGCAAGGAAAGTGCTGCCTCATCCCCAAGGGATCAAAAGCAAGAGAGCGTCGCAATTTGCTGAATAAGGGCTGTTTATACGGATCCCGCTTAAACCGCTTTGCCAGGACGAGATATAAGGCGCGATGATTTTGTGAAACACTTCATTTTCTAGAGATGGATTGTAGTTAACTGTAAACGAATGGTTGTTCAAAAACCTATAAAAATCTTCTCAAACTACATGATCTTCTCTAAAATATTTGAGTTCGGTTAGCCAGCATTTGAACTTTCGTTTCGCCTAGTGACTTATTTCAATACATCAAAATCATCCCACCTTCCATCATGTAAACAGCCCAGAGTATGCCCGTTCACAGGTTAGGTGCTAGGCATGACCTAACTTGCGAACGGGCATACTCTGGGTACGAGATTGCTAATACGCCTGTTCAGGATGCAGGAAAAGACCGAAAAGTGCAATTTGAATATCAAATACCTTGCACAAAGTCGAAGGTCAGCTAAATATTCTAATTCTACTTTCTTGGCATGGGGGGCTTTATATGAATCCCTTCAATGCTTATAACTTCTTGCTTTTGTATGTATAATTATACTGTTAATGGTGAAGCTAGCCATTATTAAACTAAACTCTACATGTCCAATTCATTCAAGTATTAACATTGTTGATATATATGGCAATATGACATTGTACAGTATTCAGTGGCAAGCTAGCCATGGCAACTGGTCATGCTATGCTAATAAACCTGCATCTATTTGAATAATGCAAATCATTAAAAACTTGCATAACATGACTTGTTGCTACAATTTCATATACCTTACTTGCATTAAAATTTGCGCAGTACTAGAATTCGCGCAGCGCTGGGTTGCGCGAATTTTAGTAATGTGCGAAATATAATCCGCGCGAAAAGCTTTGTGATGTAATATGAGACACCGGTTGTTAGTAATGCAAATCAGTTGATTTATTTAACGCACATCTACACATTTAACATATCATATGTTTTAAGTTGTCCTGTCAATATTAAAAATAAAAAATGTCTTCCTCCCGGACAATTTCAGTCGAGATATTCTCAGGTTCCGCGTAGCATTCCGTTACGAATGCCTGCATTTTGCCACAGATCCTCAAACATTGTTGTCAAAGGTGGCAACGATCATGTGTGAGCGCCGCATTGAAAGAGCCACAACGAAAAGAGGATCCATTTGAACTCTAGCTAAATATATTTGTGTGTTTTGAGATATATTTGTGCGTTTGAAACATATTTGTGTGTTGCATTTGTGGGCCACCGTAGTTTTACACCATTTAAATTATGAACCTACAATATATGGGAATGCTAATAAAAGATTAGTGCTATTGTATTAGGCAAATGGGAACCATACAATAAATAGTTTAGTTTTATTACATAATTTTGAAACCATTTTTGAGGCCACCTAATCGCTTTTTGATTAAGTTTTGATAAAAAATATTCGTTATAAATATTTAACATAGTTCTATTGAACAAACCAAAAAGAACGAACACGGAAAATTTCTTGCCCGAATTTAAAGCTGCGCGAATATGAACAAGGTGCGTGAAATTAAATCGCACATGAATACGACGCGATTATTCAGTTTTAATGATACCTTGAGTACCTTCAAGGCTACCCCTATTGCAGAACAACCGAACATCTGCTGATGAGAAGACAAAATCTATGTTGACATTTTTGTCAGCTTCAGATGACCATTCATTTGTAATGATTAAGATTGTAGAAAGAAATTCTGAGCATGTGAATATATGAATGTAAGCCGGTATATTACATATAATGCTAACCAATGGACATATATATCTCAGATACTAAATGTACAATAAAATAACATTTTGACTCCTTGTATAAATATAAAGACGATCAGTGGGCTATTAGAACTGAAAATTCATAAAATCATATTGGTTTCAATACCTCTATATCGAACACTAAACAGCAAATCTAAATATAAATGCCTTCATGTATATCACCAGAAAGAAATAAAGCTATCCGCCATGAATTATTCAAGATATTGTCGATCCTTTGCATTGTATTAAACTGTATTAAATCCTGAGAAGAATCATGCGAGCGCAATACAAAATAAAATCGAATCAAAATCGAATAAAAACAAAGAGTCGTCGAATGCTCGAGCTGACGACAATTTCCGAAAAATCTTGGCATCCGACGGACTGACATGGATTCAGTATGTTTCCCCAATATAACTCGGCCGGGGACTGGGGAAAAAAACAAAAAAAACAAAAAAAAAACAAGAACGAAAAACAAGAACGCAAAGAACAAAAAAGAAAAAAAAGAAAAAAAAAGAAAAAAAAGCAAGAAAAGAAAAAAAAAAGAAAAAAGAAAAGCAAGAACGAAAAGAACGTCAAGAACGTCAAGAATAGGGAGCTGCCTCGCTACGCTCGGCAGCAATTATACACCACATAATGAGGCTGATGGCGGCCATATTTGATGGTAGTTTACTAATGTTAGTTATTCACCGGCAAATTTAGGAAAAAAGAGAGGCTATACTGATGATAAATTCTTATCTAGGCAATATGTGTCCTTTCCCACTACAATAATTTATTAAAATTCACAATTTTAACTTTATCTAACTGGCCAGGTGTCGCACACTTGAGTTAAAAATGACTAAGAGATTGTTTATTTCTTAGTTCGTCTGGGAGGCTATTCCACAATTTTGCGCCTCTATAACTAAGACTTTTTTTAGGTCTTCAGTCTTCAGGTTTGGGCAGATAGAGGTTTGCGGTAGAGCCTCGTAAATTATAATGCTGAGACGAAGGTGTCTTTTAAAAATATCAATTAGTTGTTTGGGCGCTAGATTATGAGTTATTTTTTCATGACACTTGCTGCAAATTGAATTCTGCGTTCTTTCAAAGTATTCCAACTTAGTTCATTTAAAACAAGTTCGGATTGACCGTGTTCATTTTTGCGTCCCGTAATTACTCTAGCAGCCTATATTTTGTAATGTCTGAAGACGTTCAAAAAGTGTGATACCAATGTATCCCAAACTTCGCAGCAATAATCAAGGTATGGTAAGATGAGTGCATTATCGGTACAAATTAATGTATTATGTTCCACACAAGTTTGGGCTTTCTGATCGCTCCAATTCCGGATGAAACCTTTTAAGCAATTTTATCGATATGTTTATCCCATAACAAATATTCATCAATACAGACTCCAAGTGCTTTTGTTTCTTTCACACATTTGATTGGTACATCGCCAACAAATACGTTTGGAGCAGCAGACATATTATTGATGTTATGCCGAGATCCAATTAGTAGGTATTCAGTTTTAATAAAATTTTGAAAATTTAGTGACAGTTTGTTTGAAGAGAGTCACTGCTTAACGGTAGCAAGGTCATAGTTGATGGCCACTTCTACATCAAGGATTTATTTACCAGATGCATTTAGTGTCGTATCGTCCGCAAACATTCTTGCTGATAGATACTCCAAACTGTTGGGTAAATCATCAAAAAAAATTAAGAATAGAAGCGGCCCAAGAATTGAGCCCTGAGGGATTCCACATGTGACTATTTTTTACGGGAAATCGAGCCTTGAGGGATTCCACATGTGACTATTTTCTTTATTATTATTATTATTATTTACTACCAATATTTATACACGGTAGCATCTCAACCAAAGTTCATAAATAATTATAATAACATAATATATTGAGAAAATACAGGCAAAGCTGAAAAGGTTGATTTTCAGATGGCCGTGTGTTAAAATTTAAGATATCATGAATATAAAATATATACAGGTAATTATATGAATATCTAGAACTCATTAATAATTCATGAGCAAATTAGCGAATGAACTCACCCTAATTCGTCACATGATTGAGGTTGGATACCGCAAGGAAACACGCTAAAAATCATATACCATCACTGTTGTTAGATGAAAAACGGTTTTCATCTAATAACTGAGATCCTAATTACAAATTCAAGTCAAAACACAACAATATACTATAATAATTACTGACGGTCATAATAACCTATTGTTTTCTCTCTGCATTATATCAGCGAATGTCGAGAAGCTAAAATAGCACCCAGCATTATTAAAAATAATGCAGCGTGCACACAGCATTATTAAAAATAATGCAGCGTGCACACAGCATTATTAAAAATAAAGCAGCGTGTATCAGTGCACACAGACATTATTCGCAATCCTTCGTCATCCTGACAAGTACACGCGATAACGTGAACATCTCAAGATGAGAAGTTGACAGTGCTAAAGGCCCCTCATACAATATCATCGGGCGCCTGAAGCACTGCCAAAACGGTCGCTGTGAGTTCTTTCAGCTCAACTTTATAGAGAAATAGTTTCGTTTGCGCTTGTGGGATTTTATCCTAGATATACGCATGTGCAGAACACACCATAACTTCTATTCCCGTGTTTATCCAGTTTAATAATGTTTTCGTTCTAGATGTTATGTAAACAACTCGTTTCTCGTGTTTCATCAGGGGACCAAACACTCGAAAACAATAAAACACTCGCGCTTCGCGCTCGTGTTTCATACAGTTTTCTCGTGTTTGGATCCCCTGATGAAACACTCAAACTCTTTGTTTACATATAACGTAAAAAATGTAAAAATATTTTAAAAACTCATTAATAATTCATGAAGAAAACACAAAGAAAAATCACAAGCGTGTCGTATCTGTATATGTGATACTGATTCATGTTGATTACATAAAACTTTAACTTTGATATTCTCGGCTTAGACAACGTTTATTTTTAAAATTACTTCGCCAATGAACTCATAAGACGAGTCGTTTTTTTTCGGCTCGAGTTTGTATATCCGATACAACACGGCCGCTCATGTTGTAAATAGTACCTAAAACATGCGGTTAAAATTTACTTTTGTCTTCGATATTGTTTAAAGCTGCAGCCCCCTTATAACTAAAACTGCGGTTTAAAGCGTTAGTGTTAGGTTTGGGCAAGTGGAGAACATGATTGTTACTTCTTAATTCATACGTTTGATTCGTACAGATTGTGAAAAACTTGCGGAGGTAATCAGTTGAATTACCATTCATTATTTGTATCATAAAGTGTCCCGCGAAAGTTTAGTTCTGACAATTTCTGAGGCAGTTTCGTAGCAATCACCTGCCTGTTATTATTCAGCCGGCTTTATTTTGCAGTTTTTTGCAATTTGTTTTGCAAGGTTTTGGAACAATTGTTCCATACCAATGAACAATAATCAAAATGAGGTAAAACAAAAGCACTATAAATTATTTTAATTAAGCGTATCTTTGTCAAATAAATGTTTAGACCTCCGTAATATTGCTATCCCTTTTGCAGCTTTTTTGGCCACTTTATCAATATGGTCTTTCCAGGTGATGCATACATCCACCACTACGCCGAGCGTTTTGGTGGATGAAATACGTTTGATGCTCTCAGATCCCATTTGATCGATGCCCTTGAGTTTCATTATTTTCTTATAAACACTGTCATCATTTATCATAAGGAATTGAAATTCACAATCTACTGGATCCAGATATTCTGCAAAAACTCTAGGACTGGCAGGCAATTTATTTGATAATTTTGGACCAATTTCAACAAAGTATTTATTTAGTTGGTCTGCTATTAACTTTTAATCATCGATAGTATCACCCAGATCATCTTTAATTGCGGATATGTTGGTGGTTTTAGAATACCGACCCTTTCCGCTGATGACCTGATTAATATTTTTCCACATCTCTTTAGGCTTGCGTTTATTTAGATCAATATTAAGTTCTTTGTATGTTTGCATGGCGATAAATCATATAATAGTTTTGTTTGTGGAAACAAACATTAATATATAAATTTACGTGGTGTTTCCACGAACAAAACTATTATAGATCAATATTATCCTTACAATATCGAAATTTTGCAGATCTAATTAATTTGTTTACTTCATTTCGCTTTGCCTTATAAACTAGATGAAAGCTCTTATAATTACTTTTGACTACTCTCTTTTTTAAGTAATTACGCTTATTCATCTCACACCTATAATCTCAGTAGTTAGCCATGGAGCATAAGTGCTCCTAACACTTCTAGTTTTAACTAGAGCATAAATATCTGATATACGTAATATAGTTGATTATATATATTAGTTTTTGAATTGATCCCATGATTGGTCTGGATCTTTATGAATCCAAGCCGCGTAAGGGCGTGACTTTCACTATTTTCCATTCAGACGGAACAAACTCATTGCTAATTGCCATATAGAAAATCTTTGTCAAAGAACTTGCAATTACTGGGGAAGCAATACGAATAATTTTAGCTGGAATTTTGTCAATTCCAGTAGATCTACAAGGATTTAAGAACAAAAGAAGTCTATATACTTTGGACTCAGACACAGTTTGAAACTTAACTAGGTTGCTTTAGTTATGTAATCTGTAAAATTTCTGTTGCTGTTATCGATAATTTTGGCAATATCTGGACCAACATTAGTAAAATAATCATTGAAACATTCTACTAACTCAGTTGGATCAGATATTTCTCCATTCTGGGTTTCTCATGATTGAGTTTATTTCTGGACACTTTCGTTTTCGATTTAAGATTTTATTAACAGTTTTCCAAGCTCATTTTGGGCAATGTTTGACTTTTTCAAATTGTACGTTATTATAAGCTGTTTTCGCTTCTCGTAATGCATCAGTTACGCGATTTCTGGACGATTTGTATGCATTCCAGCAGTTTTTTTTATTGCAAAGAGTTTAAGACGATCTCGTCCTCTAATTTGTTTTTTAGTTGTATTAGTTAACCAAGGAACACTTGGTTTATTCTTCACTCTTTTCTCTCTAATTGGGGCATGTTTGTCAAGTACTGTCATAAAAAGTGTTTTCCATACATCCCACATCTTATCAACGCGGGATTGGTTATCTAACAATTCCCACTGCTTGTGTAGAGCGGTGAGTAAGTATATGATTGTTTTGGTTTGTGTAATGTTTTGACGGTGCTTTGACCCCCGTTCGAAAGGTTATTTTGTGAGAATTTCAATGGTGGTTTTTATTTAAAAGGGGGGTAAATACTCGCCGAGATATTTACATTAGAAAAATTGGATCGAATGTAATGCGAAACCGGGTGGACGAGAAAGAGTTAAGACCTTTGAAAATGGTTTTTATGTCAATTATAATTTAATATGCACTATCCAGATCAATAACCTGTAAAATTTGAAATTTGTTGCTCATGAAACGATCCTTCGAAACTGGAATGTTGTTGAATTATATTTTAAGATCATTGATATAGCACTGTCGGCTGTATTGTTTCCTGACATATTAGTGATCCTTTATTGATGACAAAATTTTTACAAGTAAACTCCTTCTCCAAGTGATCAATTGTCGTCCAATCTCGTACTCGCTTCCCATGGATCAATTTTTTACCAGTAAACTCCTTCTCCAAGTGATCAATTGTCGTCCAATCTCGTACTCGCCCCCCCCCCCTCCATGGTGACCTAATTGTTGAATGGTCCGTGAAAGGGCGGGAAGAGAACTCGTTGATTTGTCTGAGGCAGATAAATCTTAACAATAAATTTAATCCCTGTATTTTTTCTAGTGAAAGGGGGGAGGGGGTTGTTAATGGAGAAGGGAGCTAATAAGTCATTTACTCTGAAAAGGGAGGGGGCTTAATAGAGTATTCCCTGGATTACACAGAAAACAATGCAACATCTAATTGTGTGAACAAGTTTATTCGTGATCAAAGTTTAAAACTACAACTGAAAACACGAGCAATTAGTGGAAAGCTACGTGCTAGAAACTACGGTAGTGCTAAGTGCGCTTTAGTATTCATCATTTGTGTGCCGTTCATGTTCATTGACATGCCATCCAGTTGACGCCAATTTGATAAGTAATAGAAATATCCCATGGCTGGAATTTGAGCCAAAATCCATTTTTGGTTACAGAGGTTACCGAAGCACGGACGCGGACATTATAATATTTGTTGGTGTCGAGCAGAGTTAGGCCAATCGTTACCTTTGGTGTTGTGTGAAAGGCTGGATTGAATCGAATATACACGGTCTGTCCGTTTCCAAAACAATGTTTTGCAGCGCTTGTACAATACTTTGATGCCTTGTATCCACTTTGGCCTAAACGGGAATAAAATGAAAATAGAAATTCGCCGCTCTACATTACGATCTTGTTGCTACCCATTTCAGAACTTTCGATAGCTCGCGTGCCTAGTTATGTCTAGTTTAGAAGCATAAAAAAGAACAGTGGTAACGGAAGATGCAGAATTATGGATAAGAGCTATTCACTCATGCAGATAATTCTAATCCTTAGTCACCTAATTAAGCTTGTGAATTGGGTATAAAGTAAAGCCAATGTTAACCAGGAAATTTGCCTATTCAAAGAGAGGATCACTCCCCCCACCCCCCACTCCTCCCCTTCACAACTTCACTACATGTAGACAAGTTTATACAGCGACTAATTTAGCAATTATAATTGCGGAATGGACCTACAGTATTCCATAAAATTTTGATCTAAACAAGTCTATAGACAAAAAATTCATCACAGCTTAAGAGCATCACAAAATGTTGTAAAATGCGGATAGTATAGCCCTGCGAAGTTTGCCATTTTTCAGTCATTTTGTATTACGCACGGGAAATTGATATCGCTTTCTGAAAAAAAGCATCAATTTCCCACGCGTAATATACAAAATGACCGAAAAACGGCAAACTTCGCATTGCTATATTATCCGCATTTTACAACATTTCGCAACGAAACTTCGGAATATTACTAATTTTGTGATATGCTCTTTCAAGCTGTGATGAAATTTTTCTCTAGACTTGTCTAGATCAAAATGTTGTTTATTAGGAAATAGGTCCCAATCATGGTACAACAGCATACGAAAATTGAAAGGCTTAAAGTTTCAACACTAGCAATGTTACCAACTTGCTAACCGCGCCTCTCTCCTGCCCTCTCTCCTGGGATCGGTTGTACTATTGGGGTTTTAGACATGCGCGGACAATATGCATGAGTGATTTTGGATTAGCGAGACACGAATCTGTAACGGGAAAGTCTGATGTCTGTGTTCCTTACTCATGACGTAACTTCGGTCGTCTTTGAAAAACTTACTCGCGCATGCTTTTTTCAAATTGCACTCGAATTACTATTACCTATACTAAGTACTAAAATGATATGGTAGTCCCCGAGCCGACGGCGAGGCCTGACTAATTCTGCCCGGCTATTTACACCCGGGGAAAAGAACGCATGCACTATAGCGAAGTCTAAAGTTCATCAAATATCGTTGGGTGCATGGCTCACCGTTCATGGGTGGTCATCCTCACTGATCTCAAAATATGTGGCGGACTGTCGTGAATAGTGAACACTGATTGGTCAAATTTGGTCAATTTCGATAAAAGGCCGTTTAGTTTTAAGAACATTCAGTAAAGCGTTTTGCGAAGCGTTTAATTGTGGTTGAATTTTGCATTAAATTGAAGCTTATATTACGTATAATAATAACATACCTAGATATATATGTTTGGGAAATTGATAATTTTGTTATTAAAAGTGATATTTTGGGGGATTTTTTAATTTTAAAAAACTATTCTTAAAATTATCGTGTTACCATGACAACTACTTTCAATTCTTCATATTCAAAAAACATAATGTTTTGTACGTCAGTAAGGCGAGGGTTTCTGCATGCGCATGTATTTTCTAGTAAAATAAGTAATAACATCTTACATGGATCACCACAGATACCGCGTTTCACGGGAGCGTCATCATTGTTTGCCAATACGGCCGTCTCAAACCGGTTCACACTTCCAGTCTACAAAATTTAAAAACAAAAAAGGAAATAAGCATTCATTCAAAGAGAAATCAACGAAATTCGGGCAATTATATCAGAAATTAAATTAACCCAGGTTATTTCGTTAAAATCCGTTTACAAATTCGAGCAAACTTTCAACCGGGCGGTTGAAAGTTTGCTCGAATTTGTAAACGGATTTTAACAAAATACCCTGGGTTAATTTAATTTCTGATATAATTGCCCGACCCGCACGCTTTATATATTATATGTATACAAATATTCAAGAAAGATTAAAAAATTGAAACACGATGCCTGCATGTGATTGCCACTACTCACTAGCGCAATTATACTCAATTATTCAAAACGTATACCTGAGCTGTTCTTTTGAATTCGAGATCCACCACATTGCCAAACGCCTATATATAGAAAGTATAAAAAAGTTCAGCAATGAAAACACGGAATAGACAAGCAATAGATGAATATAATATATATATAAGGGCCTATAATTATAGTTACTATAGTTAGCTATAATGAGATATTCTAGTTATTTCGTTAGGTCGTTAATTAGTTAGTTCGTTAACTAGGTTTATAGGTCGCAATTGGGACGCAAGTTCTGTACTCATGCCACAGCTTGCATTTAATATCCCTATTGCATTAGTCAGGGTAGTTTATATATTGTAATCCGTGGCGAATTCATTAAACTAAACTAGAACTATTATATTTCTTAATTAAGTGAGTTATTACTTATCAGTGAGTTAGTTTAGCTTAGTTTGTTTGATAGAATATACAATACAACACTAACAGTAATGCGTGTCACACGTCACATACCAATGCAATCAGTGCACACAAACAAACCAACAACAGCTTCATATCTATATTCAATGAAAGTTATTAAAGGAATGTAAGAATATATGCTCGTAGGCTATATGGTCGTAAATATTATTAAAATACAAAATATAACCCCATGAAAAACACCCTAATTATGAATCACGACCAATAGAATTCTAAGTAAATTTTCAGCACTTACTGTAAATACTTGATTCTCGTGAAATCTTCGGTCTCAAAATCAGGACAAGCGCACAGTTTTCCAGCAAACCAATTCTGATAGAAATTCTCTCCAACAACTGATCTTTTATAACTTCTAGCCCAATCGTACAAAAATAGCACGGGTCAATTAGCGTTGGTGTTTTCTAAAGATGTGCTTGTGCCACTTACTCACTTCAGGAGGCATTTTTGCTTGCGTAGTAAATTGAATTTAAAAAAAAATGTTTTCAGACTTTCCTTGTTCCACTTTAGGGGTTTAGGGGCCTATTAACCCTCCAGTAAAACGGGGGAACCCCCTTCCCAAAAAGTCAGAGTAAGACACTGATTAATATGAAGATTCTTGATTGCTGCCTAAAAGGCAAAGTGAACAGAATATACCAGCATTGTGGTGGTCAATGAAATATTCCTAAAGTGAATTTAAACAGGTGGACTTTACCATTGTTTCCATCTTATTGAATCTGATCTTTCCAATATGCAATGAAATAGTTATAGGGTCTATTTACTCGCTTCCCCCGCACGATCACTTTAACTGAAGGAATTCAGATTGGGGATAAATAATTTTCAGCCAAAGGCCGGAGTGCGGCGAAGCTATAGGTCCGGAAGTGGTGCAGGCGAGGGGAGGTGTGTGCGGTGCCAGAGAATATTCGTGTATAGTGTATTCCTCAAAGAATGGCAAGATTTTTTTTGGTCGTAGTATTCTTCCAAATTATTGACTTGTCCAATGAATATTACATATAATTGTAGTAAAATGCTTTGTGAATATTACAAGTTGTATAAATTTAATTGCATACATGCTCTTGCAGCATTACTAGTCTTGTCTGTAAAAGTTGAACATAGTTAAAAATGCGAAACCAATATTTTGTTACAAGTGTAGATTTTTTGATAATCAGGGTGTCATCTTGCGCAGACAACTAAATCTGTTGATCTTGAATGAACGCCTATAGGATTCGTTTACAGAATTTCAAATGGAGTTTTTCTATTTGATTTGGTGTTTTTTATAAATTTTGGTTTTAAACATCTCAAACGAATTTATTTTACCTATAGTAAGAATGGTCCCCAAACCTCACAGCTATAGGCTACAATGCGCATATTGTGTAGTCTCGTTTAGATCATAAATGATTCAGGTGTACTGAGTTAATATATAGAATCTACTGGACAACTATGTCAAAAGCTTTCAATGGAGAAATCAAGGAAAAATTCTTGGTAAAATCTCCACATAAATCAATTGAAAGCAGTATTGTTTGATCTAAAACCAATATAAATTGCCAAACATATATAGGAACAGGCCCCCGAACAGCAAGCATATACTAGTTTAACTGATATACTTATCGTGCAAAGGTAATTAAATTTAAAAAGTTATTTTCAGACTTATTTGAAGAAGCACTATATATTTAAATCGGTTTTTTCCCCGTAAAAGTAATAAGTTTAATTAAGTGTCGTTGTTTCTAGTCTTTACTTGTGAAATCTCTGAAATTATTATGCACAGACTATATGGCGCCGCAGACAATCACGGAGATAAAAATCTCCTTTGTGTGACTTTTAATTTGAAATTAGGTATAGAAAGGAATCTGAAAACATCGTAAAGAAGGGAAGTCACGTTTATTTTAGTTTTGATTAAAAGGTTGTTATATTATTAAGTTCAAGGCCAAGCAAGGGTATATACTTATTATAATTATAAGTTTGTGAGAATTTCGAAAATACAAAACGTACATAGAAAGGGATATTGAAATATGAAACTAACAAATACCACTAAAAGATTAAGTAGTACTTATGTTAGACCAGATATTTGGCAAAGGTATAACCCTCGTAGCGACTGAGCGGAAAAGACGGTGACAAATGAACTCTTTTGTGAGTTGATTCTTCTCCTCCATATTTAGCTCCACTGCCAAATGAACCCATGCAAGTGCGACAAAGATCATCGTTATCTTTGCCCAGAGTGCTCACTGCATGCATATACGGAGCATAATTAAATTAAATAAGTTCAAGTACAACGCCTAATATATATATATATATATATATATATATATATATATATATATATATATATATATATATATATATATATATATATATATATATATATATATATATGAGCTGATATACGGCGAGTAATTCAACCAATCAGATTGCAGAACAGCTCATATACGGTGGATGACTATATTATAAATAGTATATATAGTATATATATAGTATATATATAGTATATATATATATATATATATATATATATATATATATATATATATATATATATATATATATATATATATATATGGTATGGATATAGTCTGGCTTGCCAACGTTGATGTCACTTGTCTGGAGGATCCAAAGGATACACGACGCTTAAAATATTATAGATAGGTATACAGAAGGAAATTACCATTGATCTGTCTGGAGTGCGCATTTCCTTCTGTATACCTATATATATATATATATATATATATATATATATATATATATATATATATATATATATATATATATATATATATATATATATATATATATATATAGCGACAAAAGCAGAAAGATATTGTCTGCCGCGGAAATTATGAAATATGAAAAAATATGAAAATGGAAATTATGAAATACACACTCGAGAAATGAAATTATGAAATTAAAAAATTATGAAATTATGAAGTTATGAAATTTCGTGACCATCTGGAACTGACTATAGTCGTTGGCGTTTGCATTGTTCTCTTGCTTTCCTGTTTCCCCCCAAAATTATTATATTATTACACAAGCTAGTTTTCACTTTGGTTTTGATATAAACTATAAGACCTTGGTTGAAATAATCACAGAGAGGTTTAGCTTTTGACCGCTACTTGTACCATCAACCAATTCAGATACGTTTAATTTACCGGATTAACCCATTAAATACGTATTAAGTCTGTGAGAGGTACAGTGATAGTGGAAGCTCTCAAATATGTCATTGGTGTGACATTCCTCTCCATGCAATATGACGCATCCCAGCTGTAAGTTCTTAAACTTTCAAATCTTGATATTTCAGGAGGTAAAACCTACATTAGGTTTCCACTTAGGCTACATAAAGGTTTTACGCCTAACATTTTTTACGCATGTTCTCTTAAAGCTATCCAAATTTTTTCCTTGTAATGTGCTCATTTCAGTTACTTAGCTTATTTGACATAGTCGAAGTTTTGACAACAAATTAATGATGGTCTCTGAACAAAGGTTTCATATTCTGTTTGTTGCAACCTACAATGACCTTCAATATATCGTTCACAACTTGACCAGATTAAGGCATGACAGAACGTGTATAATTTGGCGCGCTTTGCGATTTCCACACAGGTTGTAACAAACCTGCAGCATTCTTGTAGCAATGCTGTCCCAACAACACTTGTCAACAGAATGTGTTTGCACTGCTTGTTCCCAACTTGTTGTCAATTTGCTACAAGGTTGTTCAGCTCGACGGACTTCTTACAAGTTGTTATCGTCCTGCGATTCAACAATTTGTAAACAAGTTGTGAGTGACAAACTTGTAATAGCAACTTGATAAAATAACAGCATTGTTACAACTTGTTGACAAGCTTTCTGCAAGCCTGTTACGAACACATCTTTTCGACAAGTTGTGAGATTTTTACGTGTGTATACGCGGTGACATCAAATTATAAGCATATTAGTCAGATCAGAGTATCAGACGATCATTATCTTGTTTGTGTAGCAATTACCAAACATCTAATGGCATGCGGGTGTAATTGCCTAGAAGTCACTATCGCAAGGGAAATGCTGCCGCATGGACATAGGAAAGCTAATCAAATTACAAATAGCATACAAAGTCATACTGACTCGACAACAAAACACAACACAAAACTGCATGCAATTCTTTTTAAAATCAGATAGCTGTATATTGAAGTGTTATGGTCTATCTTAATTATATAGTTTCACTGTTAATCGGTTTTGTTATACGGAACGGGTTTTGTAGCTTAAAATTTTGAGTGAGAATTTTATACATTTACTAGACTTAACTAGGAGCAGTTGCGAAAATCTGTCGGTAAGTTTCATGTTTATATACCGAGGTATATATTTGTGTTTGTATATAATATTTGGTGGAAGCTGACCAGGATATCTTTCAAGCAAGGGCGACAATTCATTTCAGAAAACAGGGGGACAGATTTGGAAGCATGTGCCTTCTTATAGATTTTGTGGAATTTATACTATGCCTGTGAAGTTCAATAGGGCGCTTTCAGAGGTCGTCATGCTCATTGAAAAGATTGCTTCTTAAAAAAATTATGAATTCCAGTGGGAAAAGATGTCACCCCGATCGCAATTGACGCTGAATAACTCTTATGGCCAATATTATAAACTATATAATAATCCCTCCTCTCCAGGATTGACGCTCTTACTTTTGGAATTTAGACCCCCTTCAAAATACTACAATCTGCCATTTGATGTTCATAAGCAAATAATGTAGGAATTACATACATGCAATTAGATATGTTACAAATAATTACAACTTTTACCATTTTAGATTTGGCGAGAACAGTAAAATAAACTTGTAAAGCTTTTCGAAATTGCTGTTTTTCTAACTAGCCCAAATAATTCGCATGTCATTTCATGTACCGCATGCGATAACATAATTATTATATATTAATTGTTTGACCTGATAAGTATTTTGTATGATGTCTAAGTGAAGCTGTATTGTTTCATTTCTGACTTTTGAAACAACGCCAACGCCATAGGCTGGAAACAGGGCTGAAACAGAAAGGAATGGCAATGCTATAAAGGGGTCTATTATAGGGGGTTATGACTTATGGTCGCTCCGCAAACCGTCCTATTTTTGTCTCCTTCGCCGTTAATCGCTCGTATTTCTTCGTGAAAACCATAACCGTCATTTGTCTTATACAGTAAAAGTTTATCGGCCATTTATTAACTTCGCAACAGTCGACGAAAGGACAAAGATGGCAAATTTTCGTTGCGAAACATTTAACCACATGATATATATTCCGGAATCTTGTTGGGCGCCTCGCAAGTTGCAGACCCATATAGAACACAATATCTCTCTGAAGAATTTCAATACTGCACGTAGCTATAACTAACTATTATTGCAAGCTTGTGGGGGAGTACAGACATCCTGTCTTTAGGAATTGAAAGGTTTTGCCGGCGCCCTTTCTCCGAACAAAGAAAATTAAAAACAAAATACTTCAGCCGTTTATTATAAAAAAAATAAAATACTTAAGCCTTTTACAACGTAAATACAGAAGCTATAGAAAACTTTAGCCTGTATATTGTCAGTTCTAAACTCTTCTCCCTAAAGGTCCAGTAAGGACTATCTTTTATTGGTCGAGTGCATGTGTTAAGTCTCGTTTACACTACGCTCAATTTTTGGTACGGCACGGATAAAATTGGTACCCGTACCACCTTTTTGGTCCTTGGACTACCTATTTAGGTAGTCCAAGAACCAAAAAGTGGTACGGTACCAAAAATTGAGCGTAGTGTAAACGGGGCTTAGCTAAATAGGTAGTCCAAGAATTAACGGGTACCAATTTTATCCGTGCCGTGCCAAAAATTGAGCGTAGTGTAAACGGGGCTTTATATACCAGCTACAGAAGGAAACTTTAACTAAACTAATTTTATAAACCAAGAGCGCGCATTGGCTTGCTGCATAACTTTCTGCATAACGTTTGGTGAAAAGAATCAACAATATACAGCCAATTCAAAAACGGTTGTCCTTTGAAAAACTCTAAACCTTAAACCTTTAACTCTAAGCGCGCAAAGTTTGATGGGAGCACAAGTTTCAAGCTTAGTAGTGAATGAATATTGCAGCTATTTGTGAATGAATTGTTCGAGAGATACTTACCATTGATGTCTCTAAGAAACGGGCCCCATATCACAGAATAAAGTACACAGAAGGCCGACTTCTTGGTTTTTCCTATGATTTTATTCCTATGATTTCGGCGTAACCCGTAATTCGTCATCAAATGCTGACGCCATGGTCCTAGCCAGTGTGCGTTTGAGAGGCATTCGCCCCCTTGATATTATTTAAAATGGCGGACATCCAGGGGGGGAATGCCTCTCAAACGCGCACTGGCTAGGACCATGGCGTCAGCA